CACTTATATAAGATCTAGCACATTTCTGTGACTTGTTCTAGACCTTCTAAGAAGACAAAAATAAAAGCTGGTTTATTAAAGATGTGGAGTATAATCTTCAAGTGTGTTTTATTTACACATTTTGTAACATTCGATAATGTTCATTTATAAGGAAGGAGTACTTCCCTTTATCGTGTAACCAGTTTTTGAATTATGTTTTAAGCATCATTAAAGATGAGAACAAAAGCCATTTGTTCAATATTAAATCGTATACTTAATTATAATCAATACATTTTTAAAATATTTAGAGAGGTAAATATATTGGCACATGAAGCTACTTGCTTTTATCTTCATTATGTGACCAATTTCATTCGTTAAGTTATTGGACTTCTTACCATAAATGAAGCCATGTTAAGTGAAAATAGCTAAGGATTATGCTAGTGAATCTTAAATTAGCACACTCTAAATCAGGAGTTCTCAACTTTTCCTAACTCGAGACCCATATGAATAGTCGGGTAATTTTCTGGGATCAATGCGCAATTGAGGGTACTATTCTAATATGTTTCAGTTAAGTCTGTTAGTGTTTTTATATTTTGGTTTTGTTCATTCAAAACTTCTAGGATTATTGCCTTATACATAACTTTAAAAAATATATATTTTACTGTGTCCTTTTCTGTGACCCACAGTTTAGGGACCCACTGCCGTGGACTGGAATCGAGAGTATAAAAGGCGAAAACAGCGTCGCCATGTAAAACTCTCGAACAGTACATACAAGTATGTGACTGCTCTTTTAAACATTGTTTTAATATTTCATCTGCCAAATTTCTGATGAAAGATTGCTTTGATATCCCGTTACAACGGAATGCGGAATGTACTGATTTTGTTCCCCTGCAGTGAGTGGCAGGAACTATTTCGCAGTTTTGAGATATCAGATGTACAGTGTTTTTGTAGCTGCATGGATGAGTGAGTTCGCTTTGATTGGTCACTAAATCTAGTGGGAACAGAAAGAGAAACGGGAGGTTAGTGAGAGAGTGATGAGTAAAGAGTGGGCGTGCGCTTGTCTGAATGTGTCACAAACAAAGTGGGCAAAGCAGTTGATAGTTTCTTGTTTTCGTTGTGAACCAAATAAAAGTTGATGTGAACTAAGAACTCGAGATTCGTTTGTTATTTCAAATTTATCGTACGTACGTATTCTTTATTGTATAATATATCGCAGCTTTAGTGCGAAAGAAATCACTAATTTACTGAAGAACAGTATTTATTTATACAGAACGAAACTACTTACATGCCAGAATGGAAGTATCTAAACAAAATTCGAAAGTATTAAAAGCTAGACCTAAATTTAGTCACTAGAAAATTCGGTAGGAGTCGGACAGAACAGTTTTAGTTGGAGTTTTACTGATCGTTTAAATACAAGTTCCTGTCTGAATGATCTGAAAAAACTTTAAACGTTCTGGAGAAGTTATTTTAGTTCGATTTTATTATACTACATAGTGCTTGTTTTACAATAAGATTAGTTTATTTTAATTTTTTGTACACCATTTTAATGCGTCACTTTCTGTATTCAGTAAGAGAAAAAATGATTGTTTTAAAAGGCCTGGTATCTTTGCAGTTTTTATATTTTTTGCCCTGTCAGTTGATTCTGTTCATATTGGAATTTCTTAAGCTAGAAATGGTTATCATAGGCTTTTAAAATTTGTCTATAAATATATAGTCTATTTAGGTATACAGTTTTATGTCATTAGAGAAGCCGTTGAAATATAAATACATCAGCTTGGAGAAGAAGGGAAACAAAATTATATATTTTAAATAAACCATTGTTACGTGAATGTGTCTTTAGCTACGTGAAGAACAGGTAAGATTTCTTTTAAAATCAAAGAAAAAAAAATTGTTGTGATTTCTCTAGTCATAGTGGGGCTGTTGTAAAAGTTAGAGAGATTACCTTAAAGTAAAAAAGTTGACACACAGTTGGTTTATCAAGATTTTATAAAACTGATTAATACTTTTTAGATTATGGAATTTATTGAGTGTTTCACTTATTACTAGTAACTATAAATGACATTCTCTCAATAAATTAATAAGTATTTTATTGTTGAATGGAGATTAGTTATTGTTAAAATACGTTTTTATTTTCTCCTCAAACCTTACCATATTCAAGATATTTTAAAATCCTATATGTTGTTTCTTATCTAAAAGTTTTATCTAGCATCAAGACGCATTAGAATCTTTAGATCCAATACCACAATAGATACTTATTAAACCGATTACAGTTTGTCCCGTTGCCTTTAAGGGACTCTAAAGTAAACCGTTTTACCGCAGACTCGGAAGGGGGAATCACCGACAGTTTAATAATGCTATTGATTAGTGATAAACATTGTCCTTTATTTTGGTATTCATTGCGTGTAAAACCAGAAACTGACAACAATCCTAACTAAGGCGATTTGCTGGGGAGAACTTATGCCACCATCCAGTTAGTGGTAACGAAGCTCTACTTACAAAACAAGCATGCTCTTTCTGATTACTAAACCACTCAACTATTTAATTTTTTTTCTCTTCATTTAAAAATTATTTCTTTTGTGTTTAGGACATGTTTATGAAATATTTTAAGAGCCTCATCTCAAAGTTTGTCATCTGAGTATTATAAGCTAGAATATTCTGGATACAAATTTAATATTGATTAATACGTAATTTTTTTCAAAAGAATTTCTTAGCTAGCAAACAATTATTTTCGTAGAACAGTAAGTGCTTCTGTGTTTACAGAAAATTCCTACCAAAAATTAAAAGTGCTAACATAATTTTTTACAGTCCGTGGATACAATTGACAATTGCATGTCACAAGTTGTGCATTTATTCCTTGAAAAAAAAAATAATTGTACTGTTGGTTAATAGACTACAGAAGTTATATTATTCATGTTCTAAGTAACATGTCTATCTGACTGGACATATAACATTTGAATCAAACATAATATTAGCCCGTGCTTTTATCATCAAAATCTTCAATAATTCATTTATTTTTCTATTCATAAGATCAACCACACCCACTATATGACGTTAGTCCACATTCAATTTGCATAGAAATTATAATATTGTAGTAAGCAAAGCTGAAATGGTAGTCCTGCTTTCAGCTATTATCCCTTGTTTACTCTATCCCTATTATGCCCCAGAATATTAAGTATTTTTTATCATTTAGTTTTTAACTTGTCTTCATTAATATCTATTATTTTGGTTCTAACATGTAGATGGTTGGCTACTTTACTTGTAACAAGAAATAGGTATCAACTATATCTTGCTCTACATTTTCTATATGAAATCAGCGAAGCTAGTGTTTTGTGTATTCTTCTGTTAGATATTATTAAAGTCATTTACATCACCAAGACGTGTATCCTATCCAATGGCTTAGGTTGACTCATCTATCGCATAGAGAGATATAGTCACCGGTGAGTCAGCCCCTGATTGAAAAGACATGGCCATAATCAGTAGAGTTCTAATAAAACGGCAATTAGATGTTAAAAAGAAAAAACGTGAATATCACACACACTCGCGCGCGCGTTTTGTGGTGTTTGTACTGGTTTATGTATGAGGAATTGATCAATATTAGCATCTTTGATGCATCAATGAAACTTTGAAAATGAACTGTCCTTCACGTCGTGTCCTGTTTGAAGGATGCCAGTGTCAAACGTATGTTAAGTTAAAATGAACTATCCTTCACGTCGTGTCCTGTTTGAAGGATGCCAGTGTCAAACGTATGTTAAGTTAAAATGAACTATCCTTCACGTCGTGTCCTGTTTGAAGGATGCCAGTGTCAAACGTATGTTAAGTACGGTCAAATCTTCTGATAACTTTTATCGAAAGTGGACGTCCAATGATATAGTTTGCTTACTAACTTTATTTCATTTATTCCTTCGGTAGAAATAATATTTTGGAACTGTTTTACGCCACTTGTTTAGTTTCTGTAGTTAATCTATGTTTTACTCCAGTATAAGTATACAATACACACACACAAATTAAAACTGTGACGATCATGGTAATGCTAATATAAAAACTGTTTGGTCTTAATGTTTTGTTAATTAAATAAATCTATTGTTAATGTCTTCTTTGGTATAAAAATACACAGAAAATGAACGTATATTGTAAACACCCTCTGGAATTTGTATGTTTGATCTCTGGTAACACGCACCAAATCCCAAATGGTAAAAAAAAAAAAAATACATAGTTTGTTTCAGGTCTGGAGATATTAAATATTAACCCAGCAATTTATGTTTGGTGCAAAAACTTCTAGATAAACACTTAATGTCCAATGTTTTTTAAAGAAAGAAATAACATCTTTTGTTATAATGTATATACTACTCGTCTCTATAGGAACGAGAAAAAATTGCTCAAAATCTGATAAAAATAATGATGGTCATTATTTTCTAATGGTTGATTTTGACAACATGCTAGAAAAAAATAATCTTTCAAAATATTATACATAGCAGACTTTAAAGAGAGGGGCAGCAGAAGTGATCGTTATAACATGTTATTCTTGGCTTCGGTGTTAATCTGTCATGGTAAGAAAGCAAAAACTTCAAAGAAATTGCAATAAATAAAAGCCTTGTTTAAAATAAATATGTAAAGCAAATGTTGAATATAACTATCAATTTAGAACATTTACTGTATCACGTGAATTGTGGTGTAGGCATATCAATATTTGAGATAGAACATTTATTTTCATTAACAGTGTACTTCCAAAAAAGTTCAGAAAGGCTTTCACGTATCAAACTACAAAACAACACGTTAGCAAGATTAAGTATTTCAGTATCTCGTTCGTTGAAGTAAGATAAACTAAGAAAGTGGCATTTCTAATTCCTTCGAGAAAGAATTTCCCCACGAAGGCGACCAAATGCTCAGGGTTTATATATTATTTTAATGACTTACTATAGGAAGTTTCATAATTTCTTTTAACTTGTAAGAAAATATCCATTAAAATGAAGATATATTTTGTTTTCTTACTGTAGCAACACGGTTTCTTAATTGTCTTTCAGGTATCGAACGAAACATTGTATGTAGATGGTAGCATACTGAAGATACTGCTGCCGTGAGATGCTTTCTATAGACGAGTGGATCTAGAATGTGGTTTGGAACGAGTTTTCTTAATCAGCATGTGCGTAGGACCAAGTGCCATGTCTGGATATGCTGTCAAAGTCTAACTTTGGCATGGGCAACTTTACTGTGTCACGTGCTCGCGAACCACGATCCTCCTATAGTGGCATCGTACACAACTTTCAACGAAAGTATAAATTTTACACGCGTGATAGTGGATCAGGACTCCTCCGGTCGGGTGTATGTCGGCGCCACGAATTGGTTGTATCAATTTGACAGTTCACTGCAATTAGAGAAAGAGGTCGAAACAGGGCCAGTAGAAGACAGCATACAGTGCTCTCCTACCGACTGCCTTCACCAGAAAAAGGCCTATACCACCAATGTTAATAAAGTCCTAGTCATCGATAGTAAAGCAGGCAAGCTAATTGTCTGTGGTAGTGTGCATCAAGGAGCCTGCCGACGTCACCAACTTGAAAACATTGGGAGTGTTGAAGACTTGGTTCCTGTTCCGGTAGCTGCGAACGATGAGAACTCTTCTACATACGCTTTCATAGGGCCTGCACAGTACTTTGGTTACCCCTCCAGGGTCTTGTATGTGGCGACTACCAACAGTCGTTTGGGACCATACCGGGACATGGTTCCTGCTATCACAAGCAGAAGCCTCGAGGAGGATAGTGGTCGTCTGTTTGGGATTATCGAGAAATCCTTCTCCACCATTGCTAGGGTGGACATTAGCTTCCATTTGCGAGACTACTATCTGGTCAACTATATTTATGGTTTCCACTCGGGTGGCTTCATCTATTTTGCCACGGTACAAAGGAAGTCTCATTTAAGGGCTTTAGAGGAGTGGGGTTATGTGACCAGACTGGCACGAGTGTGTGCATCCGACGCAGGATATAACACCTATACAGAAGTGACGTTACAGTGCATTGCGCCGGATGGGACGGACTTTAATTTGCTTCAGGATGCCACAGTGGGTCCAGCAGGCTCTGATCTATCGTCATTGCTTCGCATTCGACCCGGAGCCGATGTTTTTCTAGGAGTTTTTGCAGTTAGTAAGGATCATACGTCAAAACCCTCTCATAAGTCCGCCCTCTGTATCTACTCATTGGCCGAGATCGAGCAGCGCTTCACAGAAAACATCCACCTATGTTACAATGGTAGTGTGCTCACTAGAAATATGGACTATATTGCTGGAAGTGTCAACCAATGTCCGGAAGCAGGTGTAAGTTATTTTATCCTTGATTGCTGTAAATGTTTCTCAACGGACTAAACAGTTACACCAGTCTTATTATATACTGTTATTTGTTTGTTGTTAAGCACTAAACTATCAAATGGGTTTTATGTGCTCATCATACCGTGGGTATCAAAACTCGAATTTTAGCGTTTTACATCTCGTACTTACCGTTGAGTCACCGCGTGCTAACCACTGTTAGTATTCTTGGTATGATGATAGCTATCTATACATGCTAGTTGTACTTTTTATCTTACCTCTTGCGATTTTACTGTAGTTTTTATTACAGAAAATATTCATGTATTAAGATGATGTGCATTGCGTCTTACCACAGTGTATTAATGAAAGTAAGATCATTCACTGAAATTTTTATTTGCATAATTATGAATAACATAAAATATTTCTTCGTTAAAACCATCACAATTTTTGATAATCATTTTATCCACCTAGAGCACGCAATAAGTGAAAAGAACTTAAGTTTGAGTTCCACACAAAGTATAACACGAAAAAAATAACAGACTTGTAATCAGCGTTCGATTTATTGTTTTGTTAGTACCACACCAAACATGCTCGCCCTTTCAGCCGTGGGTGCGTTATAATGTGACGGTCAATCCCACTATTCGCTGGTAAAAGAGTAGCCCAAGAGTTGGCGGTGGGTGGTGATGACTTCCCTCTAGTCTTACACTGCTAAATTAGGTAGGGCTAGCGCAGATAGCCCTCGTGTAGCTTTGGGCGAAATTCAAAAACAAACAAACAAACAATTGTTAGTTCCTGTTTGCGACTTGTGCGTACAGAAGCCATAACACATAAGGCAAAGTATTAACAAATATCATGGTTATAAGGCTCTTGACCTTCGGGTCAAACTAATAATTGGCCCGTTAAATAATAATGGTGTACTTTCAGTCAATTTGATCAATATACTTGATATTTTACTCTCAAATTATAGAACAGACTTTTTTTGAACCGGTTTGAGAATTGTTAGCGTGTCGGACTATGTATCTCCACCCTGCACCCGAAAAACAAAACAAAAAACGCCGTGGTGCGTTAGATCTGTGACGATCAGATCCAACTATTCGGTCAGACAAGAGTAAACCAAGATTAAGAGGTGGATGGTGCTGACTATCTGTGTTCCCATTTAGTCTATCAGTTCAAAATGGGGGACCACTAACGCAGATAGCCCTCGAGTGTATCCTCGTGATTATCCAAAAACAAACAAATTTTTTACCCGCTCTCTTACTATTGGGCCCATATTACAATGATTGCATCATGTTGGGTAATTTCTTGTTTTTGCTTGTTACAACCCTAACTTATTGTAAACAAAAAAACAAAAAAAACTGAGCGATTCACTCCTTTTCTGTGTAAGACACACATAAGGAACACCAATAGTAGTTAGTGGGATTAAATACAGTGTTAGTGATTGTGATTTGTGTTGTTAAGGCCCTGTAACCAACAACGCCATGGAACCACGAACAATTTGGTGCATACATGGTATAAAACAAGAGGAAATCTTCAATAGCCGCGACACTTAATTCTTTTGGGCAGAATTAGAGTAAGTTAATATAAGAGACTTTTTTTTTATTAGCTATAATTTTTGTGCGCCAGCAACACCAAGCGTGGGGCGCGCGTATACTCGATTGAATTTTATTACTCATCAGGATCTCTACTAGCCTACTCTCAAATTAATATTATTTTATGTAGGATTAGAGTAAATTAATCTGTGAGACCTTGGGCGTGGTCAATACATCAATCGATAGGGTTTGACCTCCTGAGTCCAAACTGGAATTAGATTTGAAATCGGTCAAGAAATGACAGAGCTATGAGCTAAAAGTTTGTACTTGAAAAACAAACAAACTCGGAACCATTCTATGAGCCGCTATACCGTGGCAAAAAATTATTTTAAAAAGCCGATGGAGTCCAACCCTATCGGTGTAAATCTAGGATTGAACCGTAGTCAAATTATTGTATTAGCATTGAGGTTTTGGGGAGTAAAAATAATAAAATATCAAATTGAATGCATCGTGTTTTTTTAAATTTATTTTCAGTGATATATTTATCATATTTAAATAAGCTCCCCAGATTATGGTTAACATTACAACGCAATTCTTTCATGTACAAATTGGCTACGCACGTGACACGTGAATAAAGTATTCAAGTACATAACAGTCTGTAAAGAAAATCCGTTTACTCTCTAATCTTTCTTTTAGAGAAGGTTTACTTTGTAAAGTAGTGGGGAGGGACTCGCTGTATTTGTCTGAAACAACAGGCCATTTATTTCTCAGTATAGATTTTGCTACCGAAAATGAAATGGGACACAATTTTAACAAGACAAGAGGTGAAAAGGGGTACTACTGAAGATAAAATTGCGAAGTACTTTGGGGAAAACTTTTTTTTTATTCCTACAGGAAAAAAACTTTAAAATCACAACTCATTTAACATTTAGAAAAGCAAACATCTAGAATTACTTCAAAGTTGCTTATGTGTTAACAGAGGTAATTATACAAGAAGAATGCACTTTAAGATTTGTAGTATTTTTCAATGAAATTCCTGTAAAAGCTAAGACCACCTTCAGACATTCCACACCTCATCAAGATTGTACGTGAATCTTGTATACTAGTGAAATCCTAGAGGTCACCGATGTGTTAAGCAGTATTAAATGTATACTTAATAATAGAGATTAAACTTACACTACGTTGTGTTTGTTTTTTGTTTAATAATATTTTAATACCAATGATAATAATAATAATAAAAAGTAGGAGTACTAAAGGTAAAAGATTGTTTTGAAAGTAGTAAACCATGGTCTAGCTTCTTTATCGGTTTTTAGAACCACGATCGTAGTGGTATGAGTTTGTCTTTAAATGAATTTGTTTAGTATTAATCCATATAGTGTTAATATACTGAAGGTAATTATAAGTGAAACTAACAAAATAATACAATATGGCAACTACTCTATCTACTATATCTATTGTTGGTGAAGTCTTTCGTTTAACACCATGGCTCATTAGGCCGGCTGGGATACAACAAATATAGTAGTGGTCGAAGCGTTATTTATATCATCGGTTGCTTGAACAACAATCGTTTCGGTGTGAACTAGATTAAATTGGTGAACTGTAATTCTTTTATCAATTTTTGTTTCAGTAATTACATGTCAGAGTTAGTTTATAGGTTTTCACTAACATCATATATTTATCTCATTTTAGTGTCATTTGTTTATTATTAATGTTTTTTCTTCATTTAATATATTTGAACTAACTAGTAATCATTTAGAACTGGTTAACCACATAAGTTGATTGTGCTGTTGGCAGTTGATGAGCAAATGTTTTTTTCAAGGTCGAACCATGTAAATTTTTGAAATGATGAAACTGGTTGAAATTATATTGGCTTTGGTAGAAAAGCGGCACTCTAGTAATTAAAATTAGTAATTTTTAACAAATTAAGTTTTTAATGTAATTATCTGGAAATGTTTAAAACTTTAAAGCATTTTCTAACATAGGATTAAACGATTAGTGGTGTCTTAATTAAGTACTGATATAGTGGACCTTGGAAACTTGAAGTTAAACACGATTTATTTGATCAAAATAATCACCTAGTTGGATTTGAGTATTGTACATGTTCAAATGATGACCAACGTTTAACAGAAGTGGCTGTGTTTACTATGAGATGTTAGTGATTCAAGACATTATTATTAAACAATATTTGCTTTTGCTGTATTGTAATGATCACGTTGCATGATTTCAGAAAGCAGGAAATATTCTAAACTTCTGTAATGAGACCATCAAGTTGAACGGTTCCTTGCCCATCCAACAGCCTGCAGCTGTAGTATTCCACAATACGACATTGACATCGGTAGGAGTGGCCACGACTGGTCAGCACACCGTGGCTTTTGCAGGGACTAGCGATGGAAGTCTTAAAAAGGTAAGCCAAAATGTCTTTAACTCGTTTTTTGGATGTCTTGGCGTTTTATTAACTTACGTCATGTTGAGTGACAGACCTTGCGAGACGTGCCTGGACATCAGATGTTCGTTATGATGAAGCTATTATATATCTACCTTTTAGTGGTTACTTCGGCTACGCAATTATTATTTGTCCAAGTCATCATTCACATTTTGTTTACGTCTGTGTATTTGAACACACGTGCACATAATGCTGTTTGTGCTAGATAGATATATGGATGTAACCTTTACTTTATGAAAGATGTATGCTATTTTACAATAATATGGAGTAGGTGCTTCACGTAAAATATTCATAAGATGAGTGTATCTGTAAGTACTGATTTATTTCAGTTACTTTTTCTTCTGTCTTTATTTACTTTGTCACCCGTTTTCTTCCTTGTTTGCTTTTGTTCTTTCTTTCTTTGCTCATCCAGAAAAAGTTCGTTATTTATTGATTGATAAACCTCAGCGCATTGTTTTTTGTTTTATTTCAAGAACGTTGCAAAAACTACACGTCCAAGATAACGTGCACGAGGAAAGATAGATATTCAAACAAGCCACATTTTCTAGGATGTAATATGACTAACAAATCAAATTAACATGCCAACTTTTCTAGAATGTACTATGACTAACAAATGAAATTAACATGCCACCTTTTCTAGAATGTACTATGACTAACAAATCAAATTAACATGCCACTTTTTCTAGAATGTACTATGACTAACAAATCAAATTAACATGCCACTTTTTCTAGAATGTACTATAACTAACAAACCGAATTAACATGCCACCTTTTTAGAATGTACTATAACTAACAAACCGAATTAACATGCCACCTTTTCTAGAATGTACTATGACTAACAAATCAAATTAACATGCCACCTTTTCTAGAATGTACTATGACTAACAAATCAAATTAACACGTCACCTTTTCTAGAAGGTAGTATGGCTAATAAATCAAATTAACATGTCACCTTTTCTAGAAGGTAGTATGGCTAACAAATCAAATTAACATGCCACCTATTTCATCTCTAATTAAACATACTTTATGCACTCCGCTGTGTTTTACATTGAAGGTTTTTTTAAGTTGCAAGTGTTTTATCTCCTTGTCTATCTAAATAATAGATTGTGGATATAATGTATCTTTTGTTCGTGGTTTCTTTCCGTTTAGAATTATTTGACATTGAATGTACGAATTCAAGCATAAATGGTAGTTTGTATTTTATTACAGTTTCTCATCAGTAACTCTGCTAAAGCCGAAGAATTTGAAGAGATAATAGTGGATGAAGGCAATCCTATAATTCCTAGTCCATATCTGGACTGGGATGAAGGTTTTCTTTATGTGGCATCCCCCTATACGGTTTGTACAAATTGGAAATATTTACTCAGTAAACTATATATTTTGAATGAAATTAATTTCCTTATTGTTACTCCATCGATGCATGGTAACAAAGTACAATAATCTTAAATCGGTGTTTCTAAAATGTACAAACAGAAAATGTTTACTACACTCTGTTTAAGTTATTACTTAGTATACCAAAGATGTCTGGTTACCCTCCACGTTGCTGTTACTTAAGACTGGACGAACTGAAATTTTGTGAAGAATGATTTAAAGTGAATTTTAACTTTGACGATGACCTGTGGTGGCTGAACGATAATCGTGCGAGCGTATGGCGCTAAAAATTTGGACACGATACCCATGGTGGGTAAAGCGAAGATGACCCGGCATGGCCAGGTGGTTAGGGCGCTCGACTCGCAATATGAGGGTCGCAGGTTCGAATCCCCGTAACACCAAACATGCTCGCCCTTTCAGCCCTTTCAGTCACGGTCAATCCCACTATTCGTTGGTAATCGAGTAGCCCAAGAGTTGGCGGTGGGTGGTGATGACTAGCTGCCTTCCCTCTAGTCTTACACTGCTAAGTTAGGGACGGCTAGCGCAGATAGCCCTCGTGTAGCTTTGCGCAAAATTAAAAAAACAAACAAAAAAACAATCAAACTTTACTTTAAATGCTTTCCGATGGCTCAGCGGTAAGCTTAAGAGTTTATAACGCTAACATTCGGAGTTCAATACCCACGGTGAGCACAGTTAAGATAGCCCATTGTGCAGCTATGCGTTTGGAAACAAAAAACAAAATCCTTTTTTAATACTTTTGGACTTGAAACCACCTTGAGTATGAATATCTATCTGTTTAAAAATAATTCAGTAGCTTACTAATCCAGTTTTTATGGTAATACATTATATCGAAATACTGTTAATTTATATATATAATAAAATACTATATTAAATTTACGTTGATACTAATCTTCACTTTTTCTCCGTTTTCTACAAACGCTCTTTCTAATTATATTTCGTTCTGCATCAACTTACCATTCTATTATTATTCTATATGAAGAACAGAATATTTGTAAAATGTCTCAACCAAATGTTACTTTGGAAATGTTGTCAACTCATTACGATTTTTGCTGATGCGGATTAATGGTTGTTTTTTTAACTTGGTGAGATGATAGAACAGGAATGAGTGATTCGGTACGTTCCGGTAATACTTCTCTAAACACTAAGAGATAAAAAGGGTATTCCGGCTGTGCTGCGTAAATGGGAGAGCACGATGATTCGCTTGTTAATATGCAAAGTAATGTGATAGTACAGCAACGGTCCCAATGTGTGTTTTTAACTGCCCAATCATAAACTTTGTATGCTAAGCCTATTTCTTATTCCAAATCCTTTAAATTGTGACTTTCTCTTCCTTTTTTGCCGTTCTCAATTAAGATCTATGATGATACATGTTTTATCGTTGATTAGAGATTTTTTTTATTTGAAGAGACGAAGCCTTTCTAATCAGCTTTGCTAGCCTGGGTGCTTTCTAATTCTTCTATTGATTCAACTTAAAGCTTTTCCTTTTTGTGGCGATGTGTAATCACGTCTCCTTCTTTTTTTATTATTCAGTAAAATTGTTTGAATGTTAGAAAAACATTGTGCATGCAAGTTAAGATAATGAGATTGATAAATTAAGCAATTATTGTGAAAAATATACCATGTAAAGATTAAAAATCACGGAAGTTGTGTAAATTCGTGGTTAATAAATGGTTATCTTAGGACATGCAAATTTGCTTCCCTTGTATGTAATTGTAAAAAAACGCCCATAAAAACTGGAAAACACAAAATGTGAGACCGGAACTTTGTATGCATCTCCACGTGGACCTTCATACCAAATTTGGTAAAGATCCATCAACAGGGGGCGTAGTAGTGGTACAAAACGCCCATAAAAACCGCAAAACTGAAAATTTGTATAATTCCCCCCCCCCCCCCCACTGGACCTTATAAACCTCCATACCAATTTTGGTGAAGATCTATCCACACTCTGCGAAGTAGTTACATGGGCATACAACAGACAGTATTATTATATAGATACCAGAAGGTTAAAATTATATTATCATTGAAAAAACAACGATTTAGGTAGGTTATGATGTTCTATAGTAACTTGTGTAGGCTTGGTTAATGTTTTCGTTCTGTAATGATTAATCGTTTCTTATTGAAATCATCATTCTAGATTAGTAAAGTAAACCTACAGAGATGTGAAAACTTCAGAAGCTGTGCAGAGTGTCTACAGAAAAAGAACCCGTACTGTGGTTGGTGTTCCTTAGAACGAAGGTGAGAGTCAAGCATTTCCGACCTTCGACATACCTTCTCTCTCTCTCTCTCTCACTCACTCACTCACTCACACACACACACGAACGTGGTGTACCCAGAGTTTTTATTTGATTCTGATAAAATATTTTCAGTCATACATATTGA